AGGAGTGCAAACGGCGCCCTAATTAATAGTGATGCAAGAGCAGCTCTGCAGGCACTGTGCCCCCCCAAGACGTGACAGCTCCCAGGACTGGCACGGGAGCGATAGGGGCTCTATACCATCCCTGGAGCATGGCTTGTTGCTTGATGCCATAGTTTAGTACTAAGTATGTAAGTGCATTTTCAACATAGCTGATGGCAGAAATTGCACTTCTAAGCTGTCTGGTGGATTTATATGCTTAAAGGATTATGAATTACTGCAAACCAGTACCATTTGCAATGTTTTGCTTTCTATTCTACAGATCCAATTACTTGAGGGCATATTTGATTGTATATGTAGTTAGAATAGGGGTTTGCTCTGGTTATTTTACATTTTCATTACAGCAAGTTAATGCAGAGGCAGACCTCAATCTAGAGATTCATGCTAAACTTCAGCAATATTACTTAACTGAATAAAGTTAAGTATATGTGTAGGTAAAGAGGTAAAGAATTAAACACAGACCTCAATAAACAGGCATCTCTAAGGATGGAACCACACCACAAATAAACACTGTATAATAAACCACACCTAATCCTGAATGAATGGCAGCAATTGTTTGTGCCTGAGCACTCACACATAACCAGATTTGAACAAACAATTTCTGGGATAGGAAGCACAATCTATTGTACATACTATTGTCCAAGTAAATATGAAAAGACTGCCAACTTTGCTTGAGTATGCCACCTGATCTCACTGGGAGTTCAAAAGATGTGAAATGCATTTACACAGGGCTGCTCATTCTGGTGCTGACCTAGGAGGTGCATGTAGCACGTATCTTGCCATGAATGAGGAAAGAACACACAGTGTGAGCCAGACCGCAGAGACTGAGAGTGGAGATATTGGAGAATGCACAGAGACCTCTGTTCTGCCTGCATTCCAGAGAGACTCAGACCTCAGACCTTATCTCAGGGATTAGTTGTCCAGTACCAATACCAACCCTGTGTGAAACTTTATACCACAAGGAGGAATAAAGTCCAAGGGAGGGACTTTCACTCTTCTCTAGTTTTCATGCTAGAACTAGCACAGGACATGCCTGCCCAGGTGGAGTGAGCAGTGCAGTGAACAGGATGTGCTCCGGTGTGTCCACCATGGGTTAAGAACAAATGAAATGGACAGGTACGGCTCACACACATTTTCAATTGTTTTGAACAATTGCATTAATTTTCACTAAGGAAAATTTGAACCTTTGGGAAAAGGAAAAGCCCACCCAAAACCACACAGAGGAGGAGGAGCCCTTCTAGACTCCCAGTAAGACCTTCATTACTCAGGTTCATAATGAACCATCAGGGTTCATTAAGGACCAAGTTTTTCCAAGCTACCATTTGCTACCTTTTGGAAAAGCTATTATGTGGCACTAGTGAGGTAATTCTTGCACAACAAGCACAAGGTGATATTTTGCCTAATTGTGAGCTAGCAGAGCCATAGAGAAGCATTTTGGTAGCTATACCACCCTTTCTTTGTATTGTCAGGTAAGATCATCAGCACTTCATTTGGCTGCTCATACCAGCTGTACCTCTTTCCTGACCTGCAGAAGCCTCTGCCCAGCAGGTTCTAATTTTATTTACTTCAGCCTGACAGCTATTCAGAGTATCTGTCTCTCTTCACCAGCCATTCATGCAGCTCTGCAAACAATTGCAGCATATATAAGTAATGGGTGGTTACAGAGAAGACAGACTCTTTTTGGAGATGCATAGTAATATGACAAAAGGCAATGGACACCAGTTGCAACAAGGGAAATCTCAACTAGATTTAAGAAAAAAAGTCTGCATGATGAGAGGGGTCAAGCACAGGATCAGGTAGCCTAGAAAGGATGCAGAACCATAATCCTTGGAGATATTCAAATACCCACTGGACAAGACCTTGAACAACCTGCTCTATTTTTGGAAGCAGTCCTGCCAAAGTTGGGTATTGGACTAGAGACCTCCAGAGGTTCCGCTCTTCCTAAGTGATTCTGTAATGGCAGTAAATCTGCATCAAATAAAGGCATTTTGGCAATTAATTACCAAAGGAGACATTCTCTTATTAAAGGGGGAAAAAAAAGTTAATGGAACAAGTTGATGTCCTTTATAGAGTACAGAAAAGGCCATACAATTTAATGAGGAGAAGGAATCCTATTAACACTCAGCTGCAATTACAAAGCATAATAGTGTTCTTCTAAGAGCCCAGGGTAAGGCTGTGCTTGTAGTTATTTAGGCATGGAGGTATAATATGGGTGCATGGAAACTGCACTATACATGCAGTAAGAGACTTGATTACTTTTGTGAATGTAGGCATTCTTTTGTATATGTTCCCAGTCCCAACCTAATATCCATTTGCTGCAGACTGCAGCTTAATGCTTTTTGTCACAGAAGTAGCCAAAAGTTTGGCCATTAGGTAGAAAAAGCACTTTAAACACAGTCTGTCCTGTCTATTCATACTTGAAGAGTGGAAAATCAGAAAAAAATAGTAAAGCACCAGACTGTAAGTTCAGGTGTAATTTTCCTTCACTGGTTATGTTTCAGATAGAGCCTGGTCACTGACTCCCTATCCATTGTGTCTGGTCAAAACTGATTTAGATCACTTCAGAAAACTGCAGTGACTAACTTCCATTTCATGATCCTGCAGTACTAGTACTACCACAGTTTTTACCTTTCATCCCTCCTCCCCCACCTGACACATCATCTCTATTTTTTATCCAAAGGGTTTCAGCACAGAGTGACAAGCACTGGTTCAAACCATTCCAGCCCAGGGAAGGAGCAGGGAAGGTTGTAACCCCTGAGCACAGAGTGTGCTGCCCATAGCAAAATCAATAGTGTGGAGGGAAATAAAGGAGAGATTTCCCATTACTTAAAGAGGAATTTCTAGTTTGCTAGGATCAGTCCCTGTTGATTAGATATAAAATGTAGATACTGAAAGACACTACTTCCTAGTTCCAAAAACTGCAGGAGTTCTTAAGATATAGAGTGCCACAAAAAGCAAGAACAAAAATCAAGGGTTTGTGCACAACTTACTTGCTAAATCTACAGCAACTGGGAGCACTGCCAGACCAAACTGCTCCAATGAAGAGAGGCATTTGCCACAACAAACATTCCACTCCACATCCTGGATCACACAGTTTTAAAAAGACATATTTGAGCAGCAAATAAAATGCAATGACGATATCAAATTTAACATCAGAGAGGAATCTTTTAGTATCTGCCAGTCCTTTGAGTGTCAAATAGAGGGGGAAAAAATCAGAGAAGCTAAGACTCTGCTTTTTGCTTTCCACTGTTTATGATGAAATGACTTATTCAGAGGACAGATACTGTGAATATGTGAGCTGTGCTATGACCAGCTGGCCTATTTTGGATTTCAGCCGCAATACACAGATGGAAAGTATGTTTCTAGATTGCATGATTTCTTTCTAAAATCTGCTTTTTTTTTCTTGCTTTTTTTTCTTTTTTTTTTTTTTAAATCAGCAATTACTGAGGTTATGGAGAAAGTGTGGCAATTCCTTTGAATCTTAAAGAGAGTTCAAAGATCATTCAAACACCATTTTCTGAATGTTTTTCTGGAGACCTGCACATCTTTTATAACCCCACTGCTGAAATCTCAAACAGGTGACAGAAATTATATGTTGTTTCACAGTTTGCCCTATGGAAAAGGCATGAAAAAAAGTCAAATGATTTGACAGAGAAATATGAAAGCTACCTTGTGTATTTGCTGTCTCTATCAACATGAGCTGCGTTCAGTTTGGGCAGGAGTCTTTCATTATCAACACCTCGAGGAATATAAGGAACTAGAGGAAATAGAAAGTAGGACCATTCTAGGTGCCTTGCAGCACTGCTAGAGTCAAGTTGTCAAAAGCAATCTCCCTTCCTTTGCAAGAGCAATTTGCATACAAAACTGCAGAGGCTGAATCAGTTCTCTCTTCTTGCTTAGAATGCTGCAAGGCAACATTTCTGGATTAACTTCCATTAATCATTCCTGGATCTCAGCTTTTTTCTTTCTTTTAAATCCATACACAAAACCTCACAAACTGACTCAGACTGATGTCTTATTTCAGATTACAGTTGCTATATCAATGCCCTATTTAGGACCAGCATATTTTACTTTGATGTTTTTAGGAACATATTATCAAGTAGGTCTAGTCCTTCCAAAATGTAGTGCCCACACAAAACTAAACCGGTATCCTATATGTGATGGGAAAGGAATGGTTCCAGGAATACCCATACAGTCAGCTGATTTCTACTCTTCCTCCATCAAGAGATGAAAATTATGAAGCTTCTTAAAACCCAGAAACACAGCTTCCTAAAACCAAAACACTATCTTTCCTAGGAGCCCTCTGCAAATCCCAAAGGTGACAATTATCCCGTAATCTGCATGTGAAGGAATCTGAAGCTCAAGATTTTGTTTTATCTGCTTATGGAAGTCAAAGGGAGAGCTCAGGCCTCAGCAAATGAAGTCTAAATCTGGTTATAAATAATTGCTTTTGGCCTCCACTTAGATTCAGTCCAGGCTTTGTTAAAGTGGACAGGTAACAGTTATTAAAGCAGGATTTTATTTCAAAACCTGAAGGTGTGCTAAGGACAGTCACTTGCTGGTGAAAGAAGCACATAAATAACATGATTTCATTTTAGAAGGAGAAAAAATCCCCAGCAACTTCTGGACTTCCCCCATTCTCCCCCTCCCCACAAGCAAAGTACTTTACACCCATAGTATTTTTATTCACCCATAAACAAATCAGTGGTTTAGCTCTCTTCTTGTACTGACAGGAAATAGTCTTCTGTGACCTGGAAAACTCAGCAAGTTTGTGAACAGAAACAACGATATTTCTGGGTTGATTTCTTAACTTATTCTTTAAGAGAAGCTTACAAATGTATTTTTGCTGAAGACCTTGGCACTCTCTTCAAGAAAAAAACACACATTGTAAAAATCATATTTTTGGGAACCACGAAATCATCTCTATTTAGCTTCATAATAAGCCATTTTTTCTTTCTTTGCAGACTGACTGTAAGACAAAGAAGCCTTGTGTAAGTAAACCTGTGCTGGAATGTTTTGCTATGCACCCTGTTCATGTACTTTCACTGATCTATTACTGAGCAAAGGTAGCAAGTGACCTAGAGAAAACAACAAAAAAACCCCACAGTGCCATATGATAGAAAATACATTCTTTATGTGCACACAATAATGGGCTGCAATGCTGTCAAAATGGCAGCTGCCCCTTCGGACAGCTCTCTAAAGAGGGGAAGACGATACAGCCATAGCCACAAAAAACAAATCTATTTGATTAAGTCATATACCAAAGAGTACCTTTCCTGTTCAATGAGATTCAACTCTGTTGAAATAATATGACAGAATTTTTGCCTCATGTAGATGCAAACAGGCAGTGTTCCAGATATCTCCACTGAGAATATCATTTTCAAACTAGGCAAACGAACAAAAAGAAAAGCCTCTTGAATAGTTTTAATTTTCTAGAATTTGCCAAGGCTGCTTACTGCTAGGCTACTCTCCCTGCAGCACTATTTTGTTGGACAGAGAACCCAAGCCCCCTGGTTTCTTCAAGCCTTGTGCCTTGTAAGCATTACGCCCTTAGAATGGGCAACAATACACAATTATTTGAAACGTCAGAACAAAACAAAACAATTGACATCTAGAGTATCAGGTATCAACTTCTCAAAGCAAGCCATTTGTAACTAAACCTTATAAGAGAAAGGTCAGAAGAAAATTATCTTTTACAGCATACAATGTGAGGAATTTTTCTTTAATTCATTCAGCTTTGTAATTCAAATATTCTTTAATTCATTTCAGAAGAATTAACGCAGCCCTACTATGAAGAGGAACGGTTTCTCTGAAGAGTAACTCTTCCATCAGATTCTTTTCTCCACATTATCTTATGGACATATCTGCTCATTTTATATATTATTTTTAAGCTTCTCAGCAAAGCATTTAGAAATATAACACTATAGAAGTATACTATAACATTTAGTATAACACTCTAATGATTCTTCCTAAAGTTAATCCAGTAACTCTAACATTTTGAGGAGTATTAGAGGTCTAGGTAGACTGAGATTGATTATATTTTCCGTATGCATCTTCAGCATGGCTGCCTTTAAGTTTTGAGTCAGCCATAAGCAAGAGAGCCCATTAATGGGTAGGGCCCTATTTCTGAGTCCCCTTTGGTCAGGTACATAGAGGAGCACTCCTGCATGTAAGAAAAATGAATAGATTCTCCTAGTTTCCAATGCCTGTCTCAGTAGGTATTTGTGGTATTTCCTTCCCTAGGACTCAAGTACCAAGGAAGGATTTGAGTCAGTGTGTAATATTCATCCCAGGTCTGCAGTCTCCTGTGGACTCATACATAAGGTTAAATAAATGGAAATAAAAAGAGAAAACGGACAAAGAAATTAAGTCAAGAGCACATGACATATGTTTCATATTGATGAAAGAGTGATGTGTATTTGCTCTCATCTCTGTATAAGGGGAGCTCTGAAAAGTCACAGGGAAAGTCTTCAATATCAACTCTACCATTTCTCTACTCATGGAAAATAAGAATATTAGTCATATTTTAGTCTATTAGTCTTGCTGTTATCATACTGCAAATTAACCTGGAACTGATATGAACAGAAGTGGGCTTTTCTTTTCCTGTGAAATAATTTAAAAAATATTTTAAAATACTCACTTTCCAGGTAGTTCATTCCAGTTCTTTCATTTCTGGTAATTCAAACATGACATAAACCTGACAACCAGCATTATGCAGTACTTGAGCCTTAGAGCCCAGTAGGCTGGAAGACCCCCAGATTGTTCTGTGTGCAGCACAGAACACTACATACACGCCAGGTCATACTCCCAAGGGGTCCCTTTTCGACCCTCACACCCACATCTCTCAAACCTCAGGCCGATGTGCTCTCAAGGGGCCAATCCCCTTTCCTGGCAGGGATACTCCAGCCCTGGAGCCGGCTCTCCCGCGTGCCAGTCAGAAGGTGGCACCATGGAGATACGGATGTCCCCGAGTGGCTGGGCTCCTCCCCTCCTCTTTGGTGCCAAGGCAAAGCATCAGTTACACATTAATTTTCCAGTAGGATCATAAAACACTAATCCTGATTGCTGGTTGGATGCATTATCAGCATGACAGCGTCTCTCATCACTAAACGAAAGGAAGAGAATATGCTGTCACTGCCTTTCAGTACTGGGTGGCCAAGCTGAGTGACTTTATTCTCCATCATGTTGAGAGCAAGAGTTCATATTCTTTGCAGAAATAAAATAAAATAAAATAAAATAAAATAAAATAAAATAAAATAAAATAAAATAAAATAGAGAAGGTAGAAACCAGGTCAGGTTAGTAAGAACAACCATTAAAATACATAGGAAAAAAAGTACATAGAGTTAAAATTAGAAATGCCTATGTGAGATATGAGTAATATCTTGTTATATTTTCTGTGAACTATATCAGTGCAGAGCAGATGATCAGAAAAGTTTTGGTCTGGTTGCTGGAGAATAATTAATTAAATGGGTATATGAGACGGAGAACAGCAGCGTGTTTCATTTCTTGTGTCTTTTTTTTTTCTTTACTCTTCACAGCTGCAAGCCAATGGCTAACAGATCTGAGACAAAGACTAAAACAGGTTACTAGAGCAGGTTTGACAGAATACATTTGGTAGTTTTCAGATCAGCTATGCCAAAAAGCATCCACTCTGGACTACTCTGGGTCAGGTATCTGTCACAAAAAGATTTGTTATTATTTTTGAGAGCCCAGAGAAGAGAGAGAAATGCCAGAAACTGAAAAATACAAATTCCTCATTTAATTTCTGAAGGCAGAATGTGGTGGTGACATGGTAGAAATCACAGACTTACCTTTTCTTCTGTTTTCAGAATAAAAATCTCATTCAAAAAGAAAAAGAAGGAAATGTGGTATCTTAGTGGTTAAGTAATTCATATTAATTTTGTAGGTAGAATGATGAGTTGTGCTAAGAACAGATCTGCAGTAAATATCTCTTGGACCACTTAGTATTCAATATTTTTATTAGAGATATGGATGATGAGCTGGAGAGCCTGCAAACTTTAAAAACACACGACATAAAGCTGGAAATGACTACAAAAATGGAGAAAGGCAGGTTTGGAATACAAACAATCTTGACAAAATGGAGGAAAGCCCAGAAAAAAAGACTGGCTGCAGTTCATTTAGAACAACCACAAGTATTTATATTGATTGGGAAGACAAAGGGCATAAAAAACGGAAGGAGAATACCTGGCTAAGCAGGGGTTTTGCAGAAATGGATCTAGGTATTATAGGAAATCACCAGTTGAATTATGTCTCTAAAATGTAATGCTGGTCTGAAAATGGCAAATCATAAAAAGATAGCTATGAAGAAAAATTAAAATAATTGAACCTTTTGAGAGATTAAGCATATTTGACTATGGTTGAAAACGGGTAGCAGTGGGGGGGGAGTCTTCCAACTGAGAATGTGTGAACATATTTTATTCTTAAAAGAAAAGTTAAATAAGAAGGGAAATATGAAACAAACAGGACCAAAATAGGATAAATGTAAGATAGCAATTGTTTTCTTAAGGGAATTTAACCATGGGCATTTTCATTCTAATGCTGTATATCAGAGGTTAATATCTGAGTAAAGATAGTTAAATTGGCTTTTTATTATTGAATTATAATCACTTGAGCAATTATAAAAACAGGTGTTGCTGATTGAAATAAATTATTCCTTCACCTGATCACTATACAGCTGATAAGGACTCAAGATTGCTGCACAAGTACTCTTTTATTTGTGCTGAAGCCTTCTTCAAAGGCATTTATTAAGCCAAGATGCTCTGGAAAGAAACTCCACTGAAGGACAAGGACAAAGATTAAAATCTTCTAAGAAAGAGTGCGCAGGCTGTGGTGTCTGCAGATCTTGATTTGATCATTAAGTAGCCTTGATACTTAGTTGACTGTTGAAAATAAGTGTTTTCAATGTGTCTACAAGAATTTTCTCAGGCTTCTAGAGAAGCCTATCATTTAATCTTAAAACCTTCAGTCAATGAAGTTTGCAAGAGTACAGTGTAATACTATGTTTAATGGCTCAGCTAAACACAAGATAAAGTAGTAGATAGTATGTATTTGGTTTAGCCTTCATAATAAGATGCCTGGAAAAACACTAGGAGGTTCAGCAGAAATATTTTCCACCAGTAGATTGAAAAAAAGCTTGCCTGCAAACCCAGTGGATATAGCTGCTGCTCTAAAATGAAATACCAGTACATTGTATGAAGCAGCAGGCATTATCTGAAATACTTTAATGGGATTGATGCAATTCTGTATGAGTTATAATAAGTAAAATGCCTACTTTGAGATGGTTTATCTGCCATGTAATGGGTGCTCATTCTGATTTTCTCTTTGACAGAACATTCCCTGAACTTTTTTTCTAAACTGGGGTGATTGAAAATTTTAATGGGGACTCTCAATCATTGTTTCTCATTGATCATTCCTCCATCTATCACAAAGTTTTACATATTTATCTCATTATTGTAAGCAGTGTTATATCTCATGTTAGGCATCACTGACTCAGCAGGCTGTGTATTCTGAGTAAACTCATCTTTACATACCTCTGTGAAAGTCCAGTTTCCTCATTAATGCAGAAATCCTGTGCCCTCTGTGGCATAAGCATGCCTGGAAATCAGCAGTTTGATTAATTGTCTTGTGAAGCTGAGATAAATACAGTATTTTGAAGTACTTAGATTTTTCAGCCTCTAAAATGTAAGTCTAGTTTTCACTCTGGCAAAATTTCCTTCTTACTATTTGATCAAATTAGTTTGCAGATGGAACAGTTGTCCCAGCTTTATCAAGTACAGAACTCATAACAGGGCTTGTACAATTTTTTACAGGAAGTAAAATGCAGAGTTATAGTTGTGGTGCTTTTATTCTGTTGTTTCATTCTGCCTTTGCTCACTGTTGTTTGAGCAGTACAACCTGAACATTTGCTCCAACTAAGGCTGTCATGGAGACAGTCCTAAGTTAGAACTTAGCAAATGGTCTTAGCGCAGTCTGTCTGTCCAGCTGCTTTGCCTTTTGTCCCTGACAGAATACTTTCTCCAGAGGCTACCGTAAATTCCTTTCTGAGTTGATGATCTATGTTGCGCAAAGAAGATTAATGCTTTTGGTACAAGCCAAAATATTCACTGCCAGACGTAAAATAATAAGTCAGCCTTTAGAGCAAAGCCTTTCTTCTGTTGAGAATTGCTTTTGGGCCTGTGTTCCATGAAGAGACCTTCCTGGTGGGTTTCTGAATTTCCCATAACCCCACCTATGTAAAGAGGCTCCCAGGAAGATGTAGGCAGCTGCACACACGTCTCCTAGAGAATATTTCTCAAGTCCTCAAACAGAAATGGAATCATTAGTGGTAAGTATTACTAGACTTACAAAGAATAAACCTCCTAAAAGCAAAGTTGGCTGGTCTTGTGATGAGAAACACAAAATATGCAGGGAACAGAAATGTAGAAATAATTGACTGATATCAGCAAAAAAATGGATGCTTTTTCATGACAACTTAATCAAAACCTGAAACTACAGCATTGGCATGCAGAATAAAAACTCTTTCTGAAAATCCAAGAAAATACATTTAAGGTCTTTTAATTCAACCAGCAAAACCTGTGCTTTAGATAAGTCTTTAAAGCATCAGTAACTTTGAGAAGAATATAAACAAATCATTAATAGCAGATACAATTTAGAACAACTTCCAAAAGTACCGAGTGACCACCAAACTTTACCTGAGAATGTTCTAGCAGTGGGGTCCCAGCAGATGGCACATATCATCATCTTTCCACAGGGCCCATTCCATCTGGCCCCTTCCAGTGAATGGCTGACTTTTTCAGGTTCTGCTGCCTTATGTTAGTTCCCAAGTATTGTCTGAGTGAGAAAAGTCAATAAGAGTTTTCCAGCTTCAGCTGGCATTTTATTTTATTATTGTTATTTTCATATCGTTATATACAAAAAATAGTCAGTGTTGAAGTACTAAGCTATTAAAAAAATCTGAAAAGCCAGTGTATGTACTTTCATTAAAGAAAATTTTGATGATTCAGGCCATGTAACAAACTACAGGTGAGTTCTAAATTCTCTATTCTGTAAACAGTATCACATGTGGAAAAAAGCAAATTTTGACCATATTAGAGAATTAGATGTCCAATTCCACAGTGTGGAAGAAAGCAAGAACACTAAATCAGATGACTCTTGAAAATGGATATTAATGTTTCACCAGGGAGCTTCTCTTTAAAGAAGTTTTGTTCTTCTCAAGTCTTAATTTTAAAGAAATTAAAGATGCCTCCTTTATATTTGGGCCTTGTAACTGTAGCTGAATCATTGTACTATCTAAAGTACTATTGAAGAGGGACATCTGTGTTTTTAAGAACTAGTTAATGGGAGAAAAGGCAACTACTTTTGGAACTACACATTTCCTCACATACCCTCTTAATGCCACAACACAACATCCAGAGTTCTCATTATATTTATAGAGGGTAATTCTCATCCCACAAAAATGTGCATGTAATGTTTGGTTAGGGATAGTCTGAAGTTCCTTTTGTGGCCATGGTTTCCAGGGCCAACTGTCCAAAGCTACAACCTGAGTCAGGGCAATCTGCATGGGTAAAATGCAAAAAATCCAGAAAAACCATATTTGAATTTCAGGGCTGGCCTGTGATCACTGGGCTACCAGACTTCTCCATATGAATATATGATTCTAGACAAAAATCTCATTGTAGTAAAATTCATTTTGTTTGGTGTCCATTTAGGGAAATTATTCAGATTTATAAGCACCATTTAAAACAATCTTAAAAAAAATTCCTCAAAACAACTGGTTTTGTAAATTCTTGATATTTCAATATTTAAATTTATTAAAGTGAGGATAAATATAGTATTATAATCATTACCAAGCAGTCATCTTTCATAACAAGTCATAGACATATTTCTAATATTTGGAACAGCTTATCCCTCAGAACTCTGAGTGTACCAATAGGCCTCAATGGCGCTGTCCAGCTTGGCCTGAAACTTTCATCCACATCCTCGGCCCATGGGCTAAAGAGCTCCGTCTAAGCCCAAGCCCCGTTCTTCATTTCTTCCGTAGGCATAACTGACTCCAGGACAGACCCTGGGCCGTGCTGCATCTTTGTTTCTGGTTGTGTCTCCTGCGTGGATGTGGTTCAGGTTTTGCTGTGCCCGTGCCTGCCCATGAAGCTGCTGTCGCACTCTGCTCAGCCAGGCCGGGCTCTGCAGGGCTGCGCTGTGCTCACTAAGGATGGCCACCACCACCCTCGGATTTTGCCTTTTCCTCCCCTGTAGTTCAGCCTTGCTCTGGTAGCCTTTTTTGTTTCTTTTTTGTTTCTTTTGTTTCTTGCCTTCGGGACTCCTCAGCAGCCTGGATGCCAGCAGCAGCTCCAGACCAGCCCTGCTCACCCTGTCTCCCGGTTCTGGCCAGGACAGAGCTCATTTTTGCAGGAAGGGGCATGGCTGCGACATGGAGGTTATTCTGTGCCACCTCATTACCACAGATGGGGAGGAGGGAGTCTCTTCTGGTTAAGTGTGGCAGAAGGAATGCTGGGCTGCTGCCAGTTCCAAGTCAGGGGGAACAGCTGTGTGGGTCCAGTTCTGAGCCAGAAGGAGAGTTTGGGGGGCACCAGTGGTCAGGCTGGGCTCTGCAGTGAGCATTTGGCACGTGAATCACTCTCTTCTGTTTACTAATATTGTTACTATCTCTTTTCTTATCTCATTGCTGTTTCCTGTAAACTGTTCTTACCTCATCTAATCTGTTTCCATTTGATTAGAGACACCTTTTGTGCCTCTAATTCCCCTCTCCAACCTGATGCAGAGGGGAGAGGGAGTGGGACAAAAAAAGCAACACGTGGTTGGGAGAGTCTCAGTGGGAGCACTAAACTGGAGAGTAGCACTCCTAAACCATAACACTGGGCACTGTGGGATGGGAGCTCAGGCAGGGGCTGAAAGCCACAGCCAGGTCCGAAGGGTCAGGGGTGTGATGGGGACCCTCCAGGGACACCAATGGCCCTGCCAACAAGTATGTCCATGACAAGAGTTTTGGTGGCTATGTAGGACAACTTCAGCCATCCAAAGTCTGCTGCCAATGGAAATGTGAGACAATATAACTATTTTTCTCATCTATGAGAACCAGCAACAGCTCTTAATGGCCATACCTGTGTCCTGCCTTGTAGGTTTCTACAACCATTTCCCCATTTTACCCTAAAATGTTTTCAGTTAGCAGATAACAGCCAGATGGAGACCAAGACATTGCAGGGGAAAAGTAACCAAACTGTTCACTTTTGATATCATTCTCTGTTGCTGCTGTTAATCAGACAGTGGAAAAAGAGCAAAGTAATTGGGGCTGATGGACTGCAGACACAGGAAAAAGGACATATTCAGGATACATACATTGTTTTTCCACTGTGTTTTATCACAAGACTGCTTCATTAGAAAGCCAAACTTAGCTGTCACTATCAGAATTAATGATGGTGATGTAATTTGAGACATACAAATATTTTAAATTTGATTGATCAATAGAAGTATTGTCCTGTTGTAAAAAAAATGTCACATGCCACATTGTAAAAAAAATGCCACATGGAGCTTTTGTTTCCCAAAACAATTTTAAATTCTTTTAGTAGTCCTATATGCTCTAAAATATCAAGTTTTCAGCTCTTTTTCTTAAGGAAAGTATTTGAATTATTAATATTTTTATTTTAAATTTTATAATATATAATGTGTACATTGACAAAAAATACAATTACAAATATTAGGCAATTACAAATATTATACAATTACAAATGCAAATTTTAAGTCCTTTGTTCATGATCCAGTTACACACAAGCTCACCTTTTTCTCTGCCAGGTGACCCACATCTCCATCACTCTTGGAATGTGTCAACATCCAGAAGCTTCACGAAACACTCTGCAATTCTGAACTCAGAGCCAGTTATTAGCTGCAGTCTTTTCCCCCCACAGCTTTATCAACACAGTGCAATACACACCGTGATAACTTACTTGCTAAAGGCTAATTAAAAGGTACTGATATTTCTTGTGGCAGACTAGATTATTTCCTCCTTTACCTATCAATAAATTATTTTTGCAACAGGCAGGAATATGGCCATGATAGGTAGATATCATAACCCTATTTGTTAGAAAACTTTACATCTTACTTAGTTCTCAGCAAAGGATTTCTCAGTAAAAAGCCCCTCATTTGCAAAATATCAAGCAATGCATTACATTTGCCTCACAGGGAGAAAAGGTGCAGAGCTATTTATTCTGCTGATTTGAGTCATATTATAACTAAGTATGATAGGGCTGGGCTCTAATTTTTTTTTTTTTTCAAACAATGAGCAATGGATTAGAGGCTTGCTTAGCTATTCTTCATTCATTAACACTGTAACTGTCAAATGCTCTGTGCTTAACAAAATCCGATAATTGCAGATAGCATTAGTTCTGCATCTTTGGAGAACAGCCAGCACAGATTCTAATGAAATAAGCCGACCATGCATCGGGGGATTTAGGAAGTACTGCTATGCTGCCTACAATGACATTTTATTACTGATTAAATAATCTCTGAATCTGACTGTTCTGCAGTATTTTGCAACCTTACAGTAGCTAGATTCAAATACTTTATGAAAAAAGAATAATGTGATTCTCAGTGGGTCTAATCTTTCATAAATAAAGTCAAGTCGTTCAAAACCAGAAGCTCATTAGCTAGCTCATTGCAAATTGTATTAATGCTGGAATCAAGCTGTATACGCAAAGAGTTTTTGAAAGCTTGCTTCTAAAGTAAATACATTCAGGCATATGCACTTTGAAAATATATTCATTCAGTAATAGGAACAATGTTCATGTTTCATGTTCATGCTTCATAGTCTGCTGACTTTTTTTGAAGGTTTCTGATTGGAGTTTTAGGCTGGAATCTTGGCCCTTTGAAAGACTCGTCCTCCCTATGAGCCTCACTTCCATTATATCTCTGAACCACTACATCAACCATGGTGTTTCTGCTCTTTGTCCAAAGTTTTACACTGTTTTTATGTCCAAATCAGGCAGCTCAATCCTTAAAGAGAGAATGCCCCAGTCAGCGACTTTTCTGTAAAACCACACAGATTGTAGCACTGCCTACAGCAGGCCTCCATCCATCCATCCATCCATCCATCCATCCATCCATCCATCCATCCATCCAGCTGCTGCAGATGCCTCCATTCAAGAAATGCAGTTCTATAAATCAAGAGTAAGAAAATACTCTTGATTTATAGAGCAGGAACATGTACAAAGTCAGTATTACTAAATAAATTAATCACTCAAATAAAATTATTATTTCAGTTTAAAAATCAGTCTTGCTATCATATGGACTCATGCACTACTGTGCTAAAGAAGTATCAGATGTTTTCAATAGCATAGATCTCAAGAACAACAACATATATTTTACTCTAGGAGAAATATAGTCCATGGTATTAGTGTTACATTTCAATTTACTAACAGTTCCTTTGACTTCCATGAGATCTGTCATTTCAAAAGTGTCTCTGTAAGACCAGGAGCTGCGCTGAAGGGCCTGGTGTGCACACAGGGTAAAATGTCGGAGATTCTTGCAAATAAACTGGCACAGGGCTTGGCAGGATATATTTTTTGACTTTTTAAAATTCTTTTATATACTTGAATGTTATATTTGTCTTGGTTTGGGACAGATTTTGGGAGGAAACCCAGGACAACATTGTTTTAGGGATGCAGTGAAAAAATTTGAGTTTTGGTGACCCTGCCTGATTTGTAAAACTTGATGCCGATGAAATACAATCTATCATCAGGAAAGACAGTGTTATTTAAAATATTTGGGAGGAATTTTACTGTATTCACTGCAGACTCCTTCTCAACCATAACTACAACTTTCTGGGACCTCTTGTCATATTTATGGTTCATACCATGAGTGAATATGGTTTGTATTTAACAGTTATGATGAATTGTTTTTATGCATCAGAGGAAAACTTGATATTTTATAGTTGCTTTGAATTTGAACCATGAAATATTCATTGCATTTTCACAACAAAAACTTCTTCCAACAAATCACTCACTCAGTTCATTTTGTATACTAATTTCATGTAGGTCTAGAATACAAATTCTGTGCAGAAGAAGGAGCATTACCACAACAGGCAGCTGGTTACCAAACATTTGGAATCATGAGTATTTGAAGAAATAATGTGACTTCAATTATTTTTTTCTTTGTAGGCTGGGGTGGAGTCAATTCTTTGTTTGGGCAACACTGCTCAGACTCCATAAGTCAGCGGTATTTTTGTAAGCAGAAAATTCACACTCCCTCCTCTGATGCGTGTGACTCTCTGTGTCTGATATAAAGCTGATATAACCCCCATAACAAGTTTTAACTGATAATATTTGGCCAGCAGGTTGAGGGAAGTGATTCTGACCCTCTACTCTGCCCTCATGAGACCCGGCCTGGAGTCCTGCATCCACCTCTAGGGTCCTCATCCCAGGAAAGACGTGGACCTGTTGGAGCAGGTCCAGAGGAGGGGAACAAAAAGGCTCATATGCGTGTGACTCTCTGTGTCTGATATAAAGCTGATATAACCCCCATAACAAGTTTTAACTGATAATATTTGGCCAGCAGGTTGAGGGAGGTGATTCTGACCCTCTACTCTGCCCTCATGAGACCCGGCCTGGAGTCCTGCATCCACCTCTAGGGTCCTCATCCCAGGAAAGACGTGGACCTGTTGGAGCAGGTCCAGAGAAGGGGAACAAAAAGGCTCATAGGGGTGGAGCACCTCTCCTGTGAAGACAGGATGAGAGTTGGGGCTGTTCAGCCTGGAGAAGAGGAGGCTCCAGGAAGACCTCACTGGGGCCTGAGAGTACTGAAAGGTCACTTAGAAAAGAAGGGAGAGTAATTTTTTATGCTAGCAGATAGTAATAGGACAAGAGGAACAGTTTTTAAACTAAAAGAGGAGATATTTCAGCTAGGTGATAGGAAGAAATTCTTTGCTCACAGGTGGTGAGGCACTGGAACACCTTGTCCAAATAAATTGTGGATGCCCCAACCCTGGAAGTGTTCAAGGCTAGGTTGAACAGGGCCCTGAATATCCCTGCCCAGGGATTCTGATTTGGAACTCCATAATCTTTAAAGTTCCTTCCAACCCAAGCCATTCTGTGATTCGACGAATCTGTGATATCAGCTTCAGATCTATTTAAAACACATATTTTTTTTTACCATACCTGGTCATCTCTGGTTTAACTTTTATGCACTTATTTTCATAGCAAGATGAATCATCATAGAATGTAGTCTTATATGAAAATATGAATAAATGGTTTACGTGGTTTTATACTAACCTCTGAAAATCCAGAATTGAACACTTTAAAGCTTGAGTTAGTCCTCAACAATTGATGGGAACTTACTGACTTTTTCCATATCCATACAGCCCAGGTTAGCAATGCTGGAGTGAGAGGGAATATTACACCTTCCTGCTTCAGATTTTGACCACTGGTGATGGCCTGCCTAGACAAAGAATCTAGGGAGTCATCCATATTCCCAACAGCTGGCCACCACTTTAGTTTAGCCATTGGCTTCAGTGTCTGGAGAGGAAATGTAGAAAGCCTATATTATGTTTGTCACAATTCAATCTCCATACTTTTGTTTTCATTGAGCATGATGATAGCTGAAGTCATAGTGACTGACTGTGTAAATTTTTATAGGTAGCAGTGCTTTAGGAATTTTGAAACTTTGGTCAAGGTTCCTCCCTAGAAACTGGCACGGATCAGTGAATGATGCACTAAAATTGCTACCATTCTGGAAGCTGGTTCAATGAGAAAATTTAAGATTTGTGTAAGACAACAGTTACAGCTCCTAGACACCATTCTGTAAGAGGACTAGCATTTCATATTAATTATATTTTCTAAATTTGATTAATAACAATTTTTCTACATTTTAAGTCAGACAGTGAAAGATAAAATCATCTGTTTGAATTCAAAATGAAGACAGTGTCTGTTTCCCTTCCAAAGCAAACAAAAAAAAAATAGGTTTAGCATTGCGGGTTTTCATTTAATTTTAAAGAATTTTCTAAATTAAATCTAGGCAAATATTGTGATGAAAGTAATTTTCACTAACAATCTGAACTTTCTAGAAAACTATCAGAATCAAACCAGTCTATTCCAACATTTTTTTTAGACTTTTGCCTGGTATGGTTTGGAAATTCTAAATGGATAGGTTGTTCCAATCATCTTAAAATCTGTACAATTTTTTAAAATGCTATCACGACTTTTGAAAATATGCTTATGAAAAATTTGCTATGATTAATAAAATGCAGCTTGAAATGCATTTTTTCTTGATTTTTAATTATGTGATAACTCTTTTTAAAATCGATTCAAATGAGGAGTCTGAAAACTTTTTATCATAGAACTCCAACTTCTCTCCAAAGTTCTTCTCCAGTCCTTCTATGTTCTGTGGGTATATAATGAATGTAAACAAAGTAAAACATTTTTTTTAAAATTAACTGTAAACCAGAATACATTAATTTTATTTATGTGATGCAAATGTTTTAATGTCTGAATTTTCAAGACATTAAAATAACTGTGCAGAAATCAGGCTATGTGTTTGATAGATAATGCTGAAGACAGACCCTGACCAACATGCCTGTAAGCAAATCCTTAAAAGATCAACATCAGTATCAGATCCAGACAAATAAGTAATTTGAGCCACAAAATGCCAGAAGAGGAGAGAATGGAGAGTTGCCACTGTGGACTGAAAAGGCAAAGGAAGTGCTAAGAAAAATAAACACAAGTTTGTTAACTAAGCCAATAAAATAAGGGGAAGAGGTTACATAAAAGAAATTCAACTAATTCTGAAGCATAAACACAGAGATAATACTGGAAATTCCATCATTAGACAATAGAATATGCAAGAACACAAACCTTAATCTTTGCTGTTTCTTCAGTATAAACAAATCTGCTGGTTGCTAGCATTATTGCTGAAAACAGATCTCATCAAATTGTACACAGGGAATAATTTCATATTTTGGAAAAAAAGCTATTCTTTCACTTTACCTCTTTGTCCAGTAAACCTAAATTTAAGTCTAGATTGAAAACAGTAAAAGACACAGTTTCTTATTATGTAGTTCAACAACCTGAAGGCACTGCTTTCTCTAAAGGCTTAAATTAAAAAAAAAAAAAATGGGGAAAGAGGTCCAGAAGGCAGGATCTAATGTAATTTAAAACTGGAATTACATCAGCAGTTTCAAACAGATGGCAAAATGTAGAGATAAATGTGTTAGCTCTTTAGCTTATTTGGTCTCTCCATTGTTTGCATCATTAAAACATGCAATAGTTTACAATTTAAAAATATACTGTGTATTAGATGCTGGAAAAATGGACATGCACCTACTGAGGGGAAGGAGGTAGGATTGAATTAATTTGCCATACTTTAATGTACAGTATCTGGGATGCTTTAGGCAAGTCTGCAAATAGGTTTCCTAGGAAATGAGATGAACAAAAATATAATGACCTTGAAATTATAACCCCAAATGTCCCAAGTATTTAGCAACCTAGCTCAGAAGTGGTAATTACATAAAAAATACAAAAGATCCTTAATTGCTTCAGTTATAGTGTATCTAGGCAGGTCAGTTACTGTACACAGCTGCAAAAAATGGTACGTGATTAATAGGGGGTTGCTTATGATAGCACTAACTAGCTAGTGTGTAGTGCAAAACACTCATTTCTTTTCCAATTAAAGGAAAAAAATCTGGTTTTGATTAGGCTCTTCAGAAGGTCTAAGACTGCAGCAGCAAAATACTCCACTCTCACAATGTTAAATGTTTTAGTCAAGAACTAAGCAGCATATATTCATGAAAAAGAGAAAGGTTTATATAAAATATTGGGGAGAAAATGCTGCAAATATCAAAATAAGACACTTCAGACCATTTAATTTATTCTAGTTCATTGGCTATAAAGCTACAGGGTAAACCACTTCAAATAAATGACTGATACAGGTGTGTCTCCAGAGCTGGAACCAGGCATTAACTTTTCTTGTGGTTCATTAAACTGGAGTTAATCATTCTTTCCATGTAGCTCTAAACTAATTCCATCAAAGTTTGAAGAAGGAGGCATTCAAAAAAATCACATAAAAGAACTTGCAACACTTCCACGTGGTACTGAAGTTTCAAGAGGCCCACGAGAAACACTGAATTGTATGGAGAGCTCTCCGGATTTGTGAACATCTCATGGTTCACACATCAGCAGATTGAGAAAAATGTGTGGTCCTGATCTTTGGAGCATTGCTTCAAGAACCTGCCCTGCAGATGAGTCATTACAATGGTCCCTGCTCAGACTAGAGTGTGCACATATTGGAAGCATGACTTGGTCCACTGGGATCCCAGAGCTTGACTGTGCTCTGGTCACGCTTTCATAGGCTCTGGTGTGCTCCAGGAATGGCTCCATCAACGTTTGGGAGGGGAAGGCACCAGGAATCAGAGGAGGGGATACAAATGACAATCATCAGAAGGGATGAAATTCATAGAATTTGTGGGTTTCCTCTTGCCTCTAAGGAGTGGTAGAAAAGTTAGCATTGATAAGTCAGCATTCGTTCCTGGGGGCTAACACTCAACACTTCAAAGGGGTGGATAGAGAAGTTTGCTCAGGCATTTATTAGAGACTCACCTTGCAGTTCTCTCCATATCCTGGCAAACTTGATTCATGTGTCTGAGGTCACCACAGCTGCTAGACAGTGATGATTTTTTTTAGGCAGAGAAAGCTGAAGGTCAGAAAATAAAACAAGGCTATCAAATACATATTGTTGTGGGAAATGTGCTTTTGAAATTGTTCTCCAAATCTTGGTCACACCCATAGCTTTCTCTTCTCTTCAGAAAAAATGTTAACAGCTACGTTTCTGGTTTCTGCTGAGCTTACATGTGTGTCTTCAGTCAGAGAATTTAAATCCTGCCTAATCTATAGTTTTCAGAGAAAGTAACAGACAGATTTAAAATCCCTTAAAACAACTGCATTATTCCCTGGCAGAGGAGTAGATTTACAGACAAAACAAAATCCTTTTGTGCCATGACTTGACCATTAAATTATTCTGCATATTGAGCATGATCAGAAGCTATAGCCTTAGATCAAGCACTGTGAAAATAAATCTGTGAAGAAATTGACAGAAATAAATACAGACCTACATTCTGCTTTGCTTTTCACTGGGATCATGGAAAGTGATAAAGGGAGATTTGGGATGCAGAGAAGTAAGGCGGATTTGGGTAGTCTCTCCAGGGAGAAATCGTGAATTATCTTACCAGGGAATCCCTCTTGAATTCTCACTGAAGCCGTCTGTGGCAAACCCCTTCCACTGTCCAAAAGTCACAGCTTGCCAAGCTCTGTGGTCACTTGGCTCTGGCCTAGGTTCACTTTGTGCCCTCATCTTTTTCCTGTGCAAGTCTTAGAGAAGACAAGAGAACAAGCTAAACTCTCAAGCAGATTTTGAATTTGGTACTCTATAGTCTCATCTTTGGCATCCCACAAAGCAGACAAAACAGATCATTCAGAGAAAGCAGAAATTCCTACAATCAAGTCAAAGTCACACTGAATAGTCTAGTTTTTTTAAAGGGTTTGATTTCACAAGTTCAGATTTGTGTGAATAATGATTTGCAAGTGATATTTTCCCATATCATTCCTACTAAAGATTTCCACTCACCAGATCAAAAATAAAATTTTCAGCTTTTAGAACTGAAATGCAGAGCAGAGCGGGTATCCCCCCAAGAGAAATCTGCACAAAAACAATATTAACTGCAAGGCAGGTCAAATGTTCACTGACACATCTTGACAATGCCCCTTTTCTTTACATTGACTCTATTTGATTAAACTGATTGAAATGCATTTCATACTTGTGCTTTGTCAGTCTATATTTTGGGCTTCATGAACAAAATGATACTAGATTGACTTACCCAGATACTTCACAAAGCTTGTCATGTTGAATTAATTAATGCTGCTTGTATAGCATGAGAATATGGAGATTCATAATTTCAATTCTGAATTTGCTTTACCACCAAATAAGGGAATGATGAAACATTACCTTGGTAGTTAACAGACATTTTAAAATCTTCATTTCTTTAGAAACCTACAATAGAAATATTACGATAATTGTTGCACACATTATGTAACATTAGTTACATAAACCTAGAAATAATATAGTAGTAACCAAGAGTAGTACTGAATAAAACTAACTGTGCTTTCTCTTTTTTTCCTTCCTCTTAGGTAATGGGTGGTGCAGAAACATACAATTGCTCTTCTTCTTTAACAAATAATTTTGTTAAATCTGCAAAGTCTTGAGAGGATATTCTGTACTGCAGTCTCGCAGCATTGATAGTGAAGTCAGTAGAATGGTTTTAACTTCATTTAGAATAGAGTAGAGATTCCCTCATCTCACTTATAGTATCCATTTGGGATTTTTTATGGTATCCAGACCTCTTATGGTGAAACATTATGCCTCAATAATGCTGCAGTCCACTTTAGTGCATTTCTTTTTGCACTAAATGAAACAAGTAAGCAGTGCAAAACATGAAAGATGTCAATGAGTTTTACAAATGCAATTAGAGCCAATGATGTGAATACATTGTATTTTTGGGTGAGAAGATGAAAAAAACATTTGAAAATGTGATTGTCATTCAGACTTAAGATGGTTAAATTCTGCCCAGAAGCTGCTATTATTTGGTTTTGTCGGGAGGAAAATGGGACGGGAAGGAGGAATGGAAAGGAAAGGAAAACGAGGGAGGAAAGGCAGGGAAAGAAAGAAAGGAGGGAAATATCAAAGGAGATGGGCATAGGTAACAGACTGCAGCAGGAATGAAGTTTTCAACGTAGCAGCCCAACTGACAAAATGAACTTTTTCAGGCAGCTCCACAGTATGAAAATTAGACTACAGGTTGGAGCCAATAAGTCCAAGGAAGAATATGACAAATAAAGTACAGCTGCACATCATATTTGTGATAACACAGCTTAATTAGAAAGTGATTAGAAAGCATAATGGTTATCAAATGATGCTTATGCCGGAGATGCATTGCAACTCAGCTGCAAGTGCTATGAGACCCTTTGCTTCCGCACAAAAGCCTAGATGAGATTCCTCTGTTACAGGCAAGCTGCCAGTTATTATTTTTTACTGTGGTGAAATGCTCAAAATTTCAGCATTGAAAACTTCCTTACTGTTCAGTGCATAAAATTATTCTGCTTTTATATATAGCATTGTATAAATGTGTTTGCTCCAGTCTGTGACTAATATTTCCACTTACTTTCCAAGTAAGTTTTTTGAAGCACTTCCTTCTTTTTAGCAGGGTCTTTGGGATTACTTGATTGCTGACCTCTTTGGTCCAACACCTGAAAACACTTGCAAACTCAGAACTCCTGACTGAGGTGGAATACAACTTTTGTAATATATCCAGTACTGGCTTACCGATTTCAAGTGACAGAAGCAAAGTTGATGTCTAGGTAAGTAGTTTCCAGGGGTCAACTAACCAAGCCAAGAAGCAGGCACATAATTTCTACCTTGATTTATCTACATTTACTTTCCAGAAAGAGAAGTTTCATTTCTGCCATTTTCTTTTGTGTTCAACAGCTCTTTTCTGGCATGACCCTTCTTTTAAGCTCTTTCTTAATAGCATATTACATCCATCATACTTACGTAGGCTTTTCAGACCTGTTACTCTCTTCTGAACCCTTTCCTAACGGCAGGACTACATAGGATTTTAGTGGTAGTTTCTTCAAGGCAGTGCCACCTTCTATTTTTACTATGATATGAGGCTGCTGTTTCTGCATGGATCATCTGAGCAGACACAGCCCAGATATCCATATTGTTATAACTGGTCAGTCCTTGCTTCTATTATTATCTTCTAATCTCTGTCTGTAAAATAGACTTACACCACACTCACATTTTTGTCCAGATTAATATACTGCAACTACTCAAGACAGCAAATGTTTCACTGTTGTGAGTTCTCCCTGATGATTTTGATTACCCATAGGCAGGATTTGGATGAAAATAGCAGCAGTGATGCAGCCTGTGCAGGTGTTGGGAGAAACAAACTATATTTGCTGTATTCCAGAGGGTCCTTTACAGGACAACTTCTGTCCATCTATTCTTCTGATGGCTGCTAAGTGGCACTCACACATTTCACACTTAATTTCTTAAGTGGACAAAGGCACTTGTTCACAAACTGAAAAACTTCTTATTTCCCCAGTCTTTTAAATTAATTATTTAATATTTTTCCTGCATTAAAATCTTTAATAAGCTTTAAAATATTTTTAAACAATCACATAAAAGAACATATTAGAAATAATTCCTCAACAGTGAGAGGGAATGCATCATGAGTGGCTCCTGTGCGTTTACAGGAACTATACATCAGACAGCAACCTGCAGCCAACAAACAGTTCAACATGTCACAAACAACATTCATTTATATGTTGCAGATGAATGTTTGTGATTGATTCTCAAACAATAGAACAGGTAAGTTTTGTGTAAGTGGATAATTGAACCAGCCTTGGAACCTAGTATGAAGCAACCACATTCAGCTGGAATGAGAATACTTAATAGAATAGACATCACTGCTTCATAACTCACTCAACCAAAATTGTCTTCTTCTTGAATTAGCTGGTGTGTATACCTCAGAGAAGCAATGCCAACTATCTTCTGGTGGAATCTCTAGAAAGGTTTTGGAAGATCTGAGAATGCACACAATTTGCAGTGAAAGCAAAGTAACCATGAAGTTGTTCTTGTAGTTAAAATACTGTGCAGTTTTATGGTACTTTTTTAAATTTTCCAAAGCATTAAGGAAATTCCAGCTTAAAACTCTCTATAGACAGCCTGCCTGTTTGTGAGAAGGTGGGAGAGATAATATTGCGAATTTGTCTTTCCATGTCTATTACAGTGAAGAGTAAGAACAGTAAGTATTAGATTATGTACCTTGGTAACTGGAGGCACCAGAAAGATGCAGAGCAACAAACCCATCAAAGAATACAGGGTGAGCTTGAGGGAATCACATGGATGTAACTGGACCTCCCCTATCTAATCCCATCAAGATTTCACACCTTCCTCTCCCATCACTGATCATGAATACTAAAACCACTAGGAAAAATATTTGGTGTCATAAATGGTTAGCAACTAAATACAGCAGAAGCGGTTATTCAATATCATATGTGAATTAATTGGATCATATTGTAAACAAACTTGAGAAGTTTGCAGATTTTGTTTGTCTTCACTGTGTAATATGAACAAAAGCTCGTACATTGCAAGCAAATCACTAGGATACTTGCCTACAGCTTCGTGCATCAGATAAACAATTGGTTTGGCATTTTCAAAGGAACTTAACTGGTTGCCATGCCTCTTCAATGTATCTGTATTAAAAATATACTTATCTATATTTATAATGTGTTAAATACTTTCATCTTTCGTGTTACATGTAGATCTTTTACTGTGATATTGCCAATGTCAGAGAAGGATGGATTTCAGTAAACTGTCTGGTGCTCTTGGATGTAGATAAAATATATGTAACTGAAAATGAAATCTCAGATTTGTTTCATGAAGACAAGATGCATTTCAGTTTTAAATCTTAATGTTGTAGCAAAAATGGATGGGGTTTTTTTCCCCATTGTCATAAAAGACCAATTAATAAAGTGGTCAGTCTCCTAGCTCAGCTGACAGCAAAGAGAGAGGGATCCTTCAGAAATATAGAAATATAGACAGGCCAAGAGTTTATATATGGAATTCACATTTTTTAAAAGAGACATATTTTACTCTGCAGAAAATCATATTTCACTGTAGAAAATAACAGTTGGTTTCAGTGCAGTTGCCTTCAGACTTGCTCTCATTATCTTCAATGGAGATGAATATGTATATCTGAGGAAATATTTTGGCCTTGAGAGAAAGAAAGAGAGAGCATTTGGATTTGAGTGTCTACATAGCTCCAACTTTTCTTGGTACAGTTGAATCTACTGTGACTCTTGAGAGAAGTTGGCTTTTTTCATGCTGAATACTCAGCCCCAAAAGAGACTTTTGTCTGATGCTTGGTGCATGATTGAAATCGTGGAATCAAAAGACCTTGTTCTCTAGAACATTGTCTGGTGGGTGGAAAGGTAGAAGAGAGATATTTTACCCTCAGTTTGTGTTCATCTACAGTTTGGTTTTTTTTAATGTCCTGAACTAACAAGCTCTTTTTTGGTCGTGTGTCAATCCTGCCTCCTCAAAGGGCTGTGACGGGTCTTAAGATTTCCAGTCTGCTAGGGTAGGAAAGATGAAAAAGATATTTCTCAAGAATGCCCTCTCAAGTATTTTCTGTTGATATGACACTCAGCAGAAGATTTTTTTTGTAGCAAAGTGCTGCCTGCTTCACTACGCTTTTCCAGTTAAAGCGATATTGCATCCAAACTCCTGCTTCATTTCTCAGCTAAACCCTCACCTGTGTATCAGCAATAAGTATATTAAAAAGAACAGGAAAATGTATTGACTCTCTTCTCTTTGACATTTCTTTTTCAAACCTCTCTTGATAGTTTCCTCCCAGAAAGAGAGCGAGGAGTGTGTGCAAACACTTGTTCTCCACATCAAGCCTGACTGAACAATTTCTCTGCTATTCTGAGTTTCTGGTGAACTGAAAATTACCAGCTGTACTGAATTGTGACAAACACTGTGTATGTGTGTCTCTGTGTCTCTGTGCATGGAAGAAAATATATAAACAGAAATTATCATATCTAATGACAGCAAAATAGATTTCACATTTATGACCCAATCTACCATTTTAATTCTATAAAATACAAATGTAGTTTTAATTTCTAACTGAAGCTTATTTCTTCAAGTCCTCACAGAAGATCATCTCAAGCCCTCATATATAGGGCATATGCAGAACAAGAATTCTCTAATGCCTTTCCTGGTTGAGACATAGTCAATGAATAGGACAGCAACCACGTAAATGCAGTCATCATTGCACAGATTTGAAAAAGAAAATGAGATTGCACTGGGAAAGAAGACAGGTATTTTAGAGGTATGCAGCATCCACTTCATACTTCAGGATGGCTGATCCACATCCAGGTATACTCAAAGCTGATCAATATCAAGCTGATTTGCAATGACAATAGAAACTCATTGAACTGCAGTAACATATTTGCCACCCTTTGATGTCTCTATTCTTAGCATTAACATGGTAACAATCTAAGCTGTCTGTGTGTGTGCCACGTCACTCCCTCCATGTCAAAATAAACCACAGTAGCTATATAAAAAGTGTGGTCACAACCCAGTTAGCTAAATTCTTGCCAAAAATTTACTTCAATAGCTGTCTACAGAGTCTGCCAGAATACTGTTGGCCAACTCATACCATGTGTGCCTTTTAGGGTCATGGCTTTAAAAGAACAGCAGAATTGCTAAAATCTCTCCATCTTTTCAGCTGGAACCCTCTCCATCCCTCATGAATTATAGTCACATCTAATGGAAGGAAATAGACAATGCCATCTGCACAGAGCACACCTAGGAGAAAGTAAATAATGCTTTCAGACCCTGAATAGGAGAACTTCATGTTGGAAAAACTGGACTACCCAGACTGAGATGCATAGTTGCATCCTAAAAATAGCAGTTTTTAAAACATTTTCTATGCATTGCACTTACCTGAGAACCTGGGGGACAACAATTCTTCCTGGGTGTTCAGTAAACTGAAACCCATGCCTGATTTTCTCCAAGGACACTCCAAAAAGTGCCACTTTTCTGAACATCATGGTCCGGCCAATCTGTTCCCTTGACATGACTGCTCTGGCAGAAGGCATCTTCACAGAACCTATTCAGTCAAATATGGTCCATCTTTCTCTAAAAGTTTATAGTTCTGGGGAGGGATACGAGCAAGAACAGCAGAATTTAAAAGTCAAAGACATGACTGTAATTTCGTCATAATCATGACTATATAACCACTATATCTGCACCAAAAAGCTCTACATTGTAAGTGCAGCAAGGCCACTATACCTGACAGGTGATCAGGCACAGCAGCACTGCAGTGGGACTGTGGAAACGAGACCCTCCAATATTTAAGTGTGGAAACTGGTGGTTTTTATTTTACCCAGTAGAGTTGGCAGGGACACAGACCAACACTATGCTTACAGTTCCAGCAGACTTCAGGAGAGATGGCTTGCTACAGAATCCATTCTGGTGGATTTAAGGGACACAATCCTTGGGTCTCTTTCACAGACTCAGAATCCCAGGATTATGGGCTAGAATGAGGTCACTGATGAACTAAAAAATGAGACAACCTCTGATTGTCCCCATTGCCACTGCTGTTTGCTCTGCTCTGAGTATTTGCTGTATCCACGCTTGCATGAAGATTTGCATGCAATGTCTGTGTCCAGGATTACCCTTATTCAGATGGCATGAAGGGACAGTGCTCTGATCTGGCAAGATGAGGGACAAGCACTGCAGACCTGCATTTTGTGCAGAATGGATAAAGTGAGATAAAAAAAAGAGGATGTAAGTTGAAAAAGGAAAAGGAAAAAAATGGTCCAGAAGGAGCAGAAAGAAAAGGAATAACAAGAGACAACAGAGAAAAGAAGGAACCAGAGTGGACAAAGAGAAGCAGCTGTAAAGGAAGTAAAAGCAGATGAAAACACCTTGGGAGACTGAAATACTCAGCTCCAAAGATCTGGGCTGTGACTGAACATGAGCTCATTTCACAGAAAACTCCAACAGCAGGAAACTATCCATGCCCACGTGCAAGGGAAATAGTGGCGACAGTGAGGTCAGTGGTGGCACTAACTTTACTCACCATTTGGGAGGTGGGAGATGGCACAGGGTAAGGGGATGCAAGCAGCTTCAGCAGAACACTTCCAGGAGAAGAGAAAGTGACTGGTGGAAAACTCCCCCATTCTCCATCTTTCATCCTTGAAGATTGATGAAGTTCTCTGCAGCTCTGTCCTCGTCTTTTCAGTGAAAGAATCCTGCTAGCTTTCTCATAATGGCAGAAATAATTAAAAAGGGGATCAACTTCAGAGGAACATAAACACACACCAAAAGTCTGTCTCTTTAATGGTATCCCCTCCATACATCACTGGCAGGCATTCTGCTAATCTAATACCTGTTAATTCTATTTCTAATTAGGGCTATAGCTCACCAGAGGCTGTTTTATTCTTAATTTGTTGGGGTTTTAATATATGGCTCAACAGTCAGCCAACCACTGTATGCATCATGTGATCCTGGTTGAGATCTTTCAGGCATTACTGCACACTGAGGCCCTTGGAGAGAACGTGCCACTACAATTTGTGAGTCACGCGTTCTTGCTCTGCCTAGGTCTTGTCATGTGTGTGCTTGTCAGGATTCATCTCCATCTCCATTACCCCTGGGGCAGAAGTCATAGTTTGTTTCTGCTCACTTGTCTGATTTTTAGCAGATCATATTCCCATCTTCAGAACCTTAAGCAAGTGCCATCTTTGTAGAATTTAAGGTGGAATTCTAAGTGGTGATTTAATTCAACTCAAACCCATCTTCGAATTGACAGGAAATGTCCTTAGTTCAACCATTTCCCAAGGCTGACGTAGACTGCTATACAAAGAAAAATAATTAAGTTAAAAGTATTCTTCACTGTTACCAAAATGAAAACTAATTTTCTTAGGTATTTTTCTTGTAATTCTGTCATTGTTAAAATACTTTCTTTTAGGAGTTTGAAATAAAAATCTGAGGCAAAGTTTAATTGTTTGAAACACATATCTGAGAGACGCATCTTTATTAATTCAATTTTTGCCAAAAGGATTGCAACCAAGTTATGGACCAGTTAAAGAATTAGCTGGGAAATTGCAAGGAGAAAAATGAGATCACAGAGAAGCAAAGTCCATGGGGCTTTATTGATCAGAACAGAATATAGGCCAATGAAGAAACATTTTATTAAGCCATTGGAAGCCAGCCCAGGGGACCGACCAAAATTTGTTTTGCCTCTAGAACATCAGCTGCCAGGTAAACAAGAGTATTAGAACATCATTGACTCCAGACTGGTGAGCAAAGAAGGTCACCAACAGCTGTTAAATAGTAAACCTCATCCTCCATCTCTGTGGGTGCCAGGAAGGATGACACTTAAAAGTTGTTCAGTGACACTGAGAGTGATGGTACCACTTGTTATGTCATCCTAAAAAAACCATATTTGTTCCAGAGAACCACTATCCTTCTTATCTGAATACACAACGGGCTTGACAGTCACACAAGCAATTCCTATGACTGGAAATTGCAGATCTTACAGAAACAGCATAATGGAAGTCATGCCTATCTCCAGATAGCAGAAAATAACCTCATAAAATTCCTCCTTTCTCCACTGTCATCTGGTAGGGTTTTACTGGAAGAGGTGGAGAGTACAAATCAAGTAACACTGGCTGCTGTGGAAAACCTTCAGAAACAGTACATTAAATAAAAATAATAAATAAAATAATAAAGAATTTATAAATCCATATAATCCATATATAAAGATAAATAACCGAGTCAGCACATTTATCCATGCAACTTTAAATACGCAACCGAGCTTCAGCCTGCTCAAAAGAGCAGTTGATCTGGATCTGGTTTTGTCTACAGAAGCACGGCTAGTCAGATAATCTTCTGTGGTATTTCAGTGGGAAAACTACAGGAATCAGAGCTCCTAGATTGGGAAGTTCATGGCAAAGTGAAACAACCAAGCTGGGCTTCTACCCACTGTGTGTGTAGCTCAACTGGCAATTCAGAAGTACAGTGAAGTTACCTCCATCAGCTATGGAAGATTACTTGTTCCAGTAATCTTCCACAGTCCTTCCCTTCCAGAAGGGAAGACCTTGCATGGAAAATAAAGAGGATAGATTTGCACAATGCATATTGAAATTATGCATAATGGTGTTACCCTGTGCTAGGCAACCATAATAAACTTCTCTGAAAGACAATGAACACAGAAACATAGAATCATAAAATGGCCTGGGTTAGAAGGGACATTAAAAGTAATCTAGTTTCAAGGCCTCTGCCATGGGCAGGGACACCTTCCACAAGTCCAGGTTGCTCAGAGCTCCATCCAAACTGGCGTTGAACACTTCCAGGGATGGGGCATCCACAACTTCTCTGGGCAACCGGTTCCAGTGCCTCATCACCCTGACAGTAACAAATTTCTTCTTAAGTTCTAATCTCTTTCAGTTAGAAACCATTTCCCCTTGTTTTATCACTACATGCTCATGTAAAAGGTCCCTTTCCATCTTTCTTCTAGGCTCCCTTCAGGTACTGGAAGGCTGAAATTAGGTTGCCCCAAAGCATAGGAACAGTGGTCATGTCCATCGGGAGTCTTCAGACAGAACAACCTGGGTTCTTGACCAGCAAGTCTCTAGCCCAGGGACTGCTAGAGATAGAAAGGAAGGATGTAACAAGGGAGGAGTCACTCCAGAAATGGCCAGTTCCTCAGTTCTTCTGCAGGATCTGCTGCTGGCTCATCAGAGAAAAAGTGCTAGGCTGGATAGAATTTCTCCACAGACAGAGCAGCTCTTCTGCTCTCTACTCGCCTGTCACCAGCATTCCTTCCCGCTTCCAGCCCCATTTCCATGCAGTGCTACCGTCCCTGGACTCCTTAAGGATTGCAAGCGTCAAGGGACATTACTGCTGATGCGATCATCAATGACTGCTGCTGGAAATCCATGCAGAAATATGTGCTGTGCACAGGGAAGCAGAGAGCAACAACACCCAGCTCTCCTTCCCTCTCTCCTTTCCTCCCCCTAAAACTGAAATTCAGGGACTGTAAGTACCACTGTCTCCTGCCAGGATAGTTCCATTCCTTGGGGAAGGGTTTAGCAACAGCAAGCCATACCTTAGCAGCAGTGTGCTATCCCACATGTGTAAAAACCATTATGTGCAGGTAGACATCTGATTTTAGCCAAGATTTTTTGGGTGTGAAAGAATGAATGATAAGAGCAAATCCATGTGCACAGGCTGAACCAAACTAACAATGTTTTGCTTGATCTAATTTTGAGGCTAATTTTTCTCACAAAAGGGACAGAGAAGTCAGATTGTGGAAACACCTCAATCCATTTAAGACAAGCCACAGCTGTGTATCTTTGAGAAGTGAGGATTCCTGTAGTCCCAAGCATTTTGTAGTGACATTTATATGCAAATCATCAAGTCAGGGCCAGGCCAGCTCTGACAGCAGTAGCCAGAGTCAAACACATTCTCATGATCAGCAGGCAAGTCCATAGTGACACGGCAGGTCCCATGTCAAGCTAGGAGCAGGGGCCATGGCCAGGCATGGACAAAACACAGCTGGAGCTAGAGCAGAGCTCAGCAGAGACTGAGCTGCAGTGGAGCTGCAGAGCAGAACATGTGGGTGGAGGCCCTATGGGAGTTTGATGAGAGCAGCTAAGACTCCTTAATGCAGTTAGGACCCTGACAAAGTTTTTCTAGGATATATGCAACAGGAGAGGTGAAAAAGTACCAAGGAACCTTGGACTGAGCCAAAGATGTTTATTTACTATTAGATATTTATCTGTTGTTAGATATTTATTATTATTGTTAGTTACTATTGTTAGATCTGTTATTAAATACCTATCATTAGCAGATATTTAGAATAGAGACTCAACAAGGTAAAGGCCTTGTCAAGCCTCTAAAGGGGGAAAATGATGTCTTAATCCTTAGCTTTCATATTTTTTAGATTGTGTACTGGTTTAGTGTGTGACTGAACTTCATATAAAATGTTAGCAAGTTCTCTTCACAGGGTAGTTAGACAAAACAATCCTTTTCCATCTTGAGAACAAAGGACACCATTGCAGATTTAGGCTCAAGAAGTATAAACAAGAGTGAATTGAGGAAAGCAAACTGAGAAGATGGGACTTCATAACCTAAAGCTGTAATTGGACAATTAACCCCAGCATGTAAATGGACCAAAGTTTATAAAAGTGTGAAAACTCGTGACCTGTTGTCCACCTTGGGTAGAGCCATGGCCAGACTCTTGTGTTACCAAAGGTGAATCCTTTAAAGGCTTTTTAATAAATACCTACTTCATTCCTTTAACTCTGTCTAGACTCTGTTC